TGAAACGTATTGGCAGCTTCTGTGGTTGCTGTTGTCGTCGTCGTCGACGATCTGATGGACCCGCATAATCTCTAAAGCTAAAATGTAGAGCATTCAAGTTCGTTTCACTATCTCGTCTAAATACTTATACATTAGGAATGCAAAAGTCATTGTCTTCAGTAATGGACAGGATTGTACACGTGCAAACATTAAGATTGATTTACCAACTTATATTAAAGCTAATTCATATTTAAGACATTGGCGTGATTAATGTATTACTCTTTATTTTTTTAAATCTAAATAATTGTTGTATTCTACGTAAATACATATATATTCATTAAAATCCGAATACATATGCGAATCCCTGTGGAATGGATTCCATTTAGTTCTTGAGCAGCACCGCAAAGGATGTGGAAAGCTTCTGAAAGGTTAAACAGAGACTATTTTGTATATATCTATTACAATATTTATAGGTAAATGCTTACGGCTTTGCAAAACGGACATTGGCCAAAGGATACTTCGAGAAATGTTTTGCCTTCGACCAGCGTATTGAACCATTCCTTCAGACAAGATGCATGGCACTTCAGCACACAGCGAGAATTATCACAGGAGACAAGAGGCACCTCACCGTTGTCCAGTCGATACTCGAAGCATATATTGCAACGCTGCTGTTCGTCGTCATCTTTCTTCAGATCAATCTCAGCGGGCATAGGAAAGTAACACAAGTCGAATATGTGCAAGAGATTCTTGTGCATGTCCAGCTCAACATCCCAATTGCCGAGTCCATCGCTCAGCACGTGCCGTAGATGTGCCACTTCTTCGGTGGGTCCTATGATTTGCACGGCCATGGAGGCATAGCTGGCGAAGGGATCGGCTATAGTTAGCTTGAGATATACACGCTCTTTGAGTGGAAATACACGTGTGTTATCCTTGGTAGTAATTGGACACGGTTGCAGCACATCGCAGAGCTCATCAATACTTGAGAAACTGTCATAGAACGGGCGCAACTCATCCAACATCTTAAGATATAAATGCAAGATGTCGGTGAGAGAGTGAGAGCTACTTTCTAAAATATCTTCCAGTTGAATGCACTCGGGGAGACTGTGTGCGATTAAACGCAACGACGGCAACTCCAATTCCAAATAGTGTGCCTCATGCTCGGTAAAACCACAGAAGCGTATTCTCGTGCATCTATCATTCAATTGCAGGCGATATTCTTGCGGATTGTGCAAATCCAGTATCTCCGTATATATATTACTTTTATGTTGATTTGAACTAGCATCCAAAATGGGTTCTCTGGGTATAAGCTGTACAATATGCAGTAGCAGATCATCAAGTTGCCAATTCGTCTGGATCTGTATATTTTCGGTTGTATAGCGTTTATATTCCAAGTGCTCTTGCACTCTCAATTGAAAGTCGCACAGTTCTGGAAAATGTGGTAAATAGAGTTTCAATCGTATCCATTCAGAATTTATATACACAACTCCGCTAAGAAATACAGCGTTATCTTTTTTCCGCTCAAAATATAAGCCAGGATATTTTAGTGCAAACTGTCGCTTTAAATTAGTCTGGTCCATATTAATTTTCAATTCAATTTGTTTTTTAAATTATTGTAAGCGAGCGACAGTGGCGTCATAAAAAGTATGAGCGTGTTTAGGCGCCAATCAATCGATAAGTTCGGAATGATGTGGTGGCTGTTCGATAGTCAGCCTGCTGTTTCGATAACCATGTTAGGCATTTGTCTGGCAATTTCAAATCTTTGCTAATCTTGTCGATGATGATTCACGTAATATGAGTAAGAAATAGTTTACGCATTTGATCAGATGTGCCGGCTGTATTTACTCACTACTTCACCCTAATCAAAAACGTTTCTAAACTATCTTAACGTCCCACTAATAACTGCTCATTGGTACTAAGTAGCTGTTTAGACTTATCAGTCTAATTTTATATTATTTACTGATTTTGACGAAACCCGGTCGGGTGTACACCTGCAGACTACATTGTATGTTCATCATTATCATTATCATTATGCCTATGGTTTTTTTTTCTTCCCCATCTACTTCTTTTTTAACACCTGGCCATCGATAGCAATCTGCGTCGCCTTTGATAAACCTCACACAACTTGACCATCAGTCCTAAAAATTTGCTATTTAATGTTCCCTCATTGAGCTACCAGTTTCATTCACTGCTTTCAACTGCTGGCGGTTTTGTGTTGTAGAGCCTGCAGAAGCTTGTCAAACTACAATTTATTTCCAATTTTCTCACAATGTTTCGTATTGCTTTCCTGACACTTGCCTACCTGTGCATAACCTGTGGCGCTACACCAGTCAAAGAATGTAAGTGAATTAAATAAAACAGGAGCAAATTTGCACCGAAAGATTTTATCTATTTGGATTTTGTGTAAGCATTTGAAAATTTGTATAATTTAATATTTTTGTTAGGTTCGAATTTTTATCAGACTACACTTATTGAAATAACAGAAGACCCCGGTTATAATGACTCCGCTTATAGCGTCTGGTTCGCAGACAAACTTATATGACCAAACTTATACGATTATACCGTCTTCCGGATGTAACGGTGGTTCCATGGGCGTTGTTATAATCTGATTCTACTGTATTTTCAAAACTAAACGACTTTTAAAACCATTTCTTTTTAACTACAGTTTTTTTAAAGCCACTAGTCAGTGGCTGTGACTGTATTAGTCACAACCTCACTTTATACATTAGAGCGTTACTAATTATTGGCTCATAGTCCTTTTTATTAAAAAATAAATAAAAAAAAATGTAGAATATTATTAAATGTTTATATCAAACATTTAAATGTCGCCAGTGCTCGTGAACTCGTAGCGTACATGTGCTTAAAGCGATTCCGCCGAACTTTGCATTTTTGTCTTCTAATCAATTATCTAGTAGGAGGTATTTATTTTGCTGCTGATAAACAATTACGTTCTCATGCAATGAATCCAATTAAAATCAGAATGTATATAATATTGCGAGTATATGCATATATATGCATATAACTGTCAATTCAATATATTACTTAACTTTTGATAACGCTTATCGCATAGGGAATGAAAAGCTTTCAGTGCACAATAAAAACTATAGAATACTTTAAAGAGCCGTACTGAATTATCTTGCTTTGCAGGTCCAAATAAACCAGCTCCACTTAACGTTGACATTAAAGACTGCCCGGAACCGCCCTGTGTGGTCTACAAAGGTCAATTTGCTATTATGGATGTACAATTCTTGGGTGGTAAGTAAGATTCCCCCGTATTCTTTACACAAAGTAATAGCACCCCTTTCCGTTACACAGACAAAAACAATATTGCGAGTATTACGGCAAAAGTACAAGCAAAAGTATTCGGAATGAATTTGCCATACGATCTGCCCGAGGAAATATCCAATGTCTGCATAAATCTGTTGTATGGAGCCATGTGCCCCATTTACAAGGACGAGGATGTTACGTACAGGTTCAATTTTTATGTGGACCCCTTATTTCCCGAAATTACGGCAGACGTCACTGTTACACTGAACGATGCCGATGACAATCCGATTAGCTGCTTTATAGTCAGCTGTAAGCTCCGCAAAGGCCCATCATCGCGACTAGAGCTAGAAGCGATTGATGGCGATACGTTGATTGAATAGAGCCGTTGTACTATACTACGCGACACTCGTGGACTAACTGATTTGACCGTTTGGTCGTATGATCACATTCTTTTCAAATAAATATCGAATGCTTAACTTTGTTTACCATAGTCGACGTCATGGTTTCGTTTCGCCTTCCAGTGCACCGCCTAATCAGCTCGCCTGATAAACAATTTTGGTGTGCTTGATGACGTTGTGATTTGCACTCAAATTATAAATTAATATTAATTGCCTGGGTAGCTCAAATGCTAATAAAATCAGCATTGATAATCATTTATTGACCAGCAGCAAGCTTCATGAATTGGCCATATGGTGCTACTCGAATGTGCTTGATATAATGGCTAAGAATTTGATTGAGTGCAAAACGACACTGAACGAAATTAGAGAAGATTTTAATTAATTAATTAATTAATTAATCAATTAATTACTTAATTACTTAATTTGTCTGTACATTTCGATGAGTATAAATAAATTAGTATTTGAAGTGAGAGCTGTTATTTTTTTAAATATTAAATTGGTTTATTAAACACATAAACAAATTGTGAACTATTTAAAAACTAATGAAAGCTAAATAGTTATAAAGTAACACATTATATAAAAGTATTAAAAATCTTCTAATTTGTAGATCCACGAGGCTGCATTTATAGAGAGATCAATAATTCATTTGATAGGCCGAGGTATAAAGACGGGAGCTTGTTTGAAGACTTCTTTCACTTGTATCATCATTTTTAAATTATCTCTATAAGTAAATTATGAAATAGCTAAAAATCTTTTACGGCGGTAAGTTATTTAAATAATTTTTAAATTATTAAATATTAAATATTTTTGTTAAAGTTCTTTTGTTATATAAGTTGAATAATAAAATTAACTTTTTATTCATTATTATTATATATTTAAATTGCATTTAAATATAAGTTAATCAGCTAGTAATTCCAGTATGCCCTTAATATGTATGAATTTTGCACAGTGTATGATGATTCTCCCTCTTGAAATGTACTTGATAAGGTCGACAGTCAATCAACGCCTTTTGCTATTGATAGCCTCTGGGTATATTTCTCTGTTCGGCCTTCACGTTTCTATTCCAGTGGTTAGGAACCAATGCGCGAACAGGTGTGCTAGGATCATATTCAACCTCACCTGCGCTAGCTTATCAATGTTTAGTATTACGTATATTAAGACTCAATACACTTGAATACACTGTTTGAGTACGTCGAACTTTTATGATCGATTGCACTTAAATCTTTAGTGATTAATTTTTATGGCAGTTTAATGTCTTTAGCATGATGCAGCGAACTATTAATGAAAATAATTGTCTTTTTTATATATTTATTAAATTTTTATTTACGATTAAAAAAAAAAAAAAAACATATCACAGTATTAATATGCCGATATATAAATGGGTTTAATATAAAATAATTCTTTAGTTCAGATAGTTGAGCTCGTAGCGAGTGCTGCCTGGGCCTTTCTTCACTTTAATATCGCAGACAAAGCAGGTGGCTATATCTTTATCCTGATCCACCAAATAGATTTCAATTTTGACACCAACCTCGGGATAATCACCAATTGGGAACTTAAACAAATAGGTAACATCCTCGGTGGGATACAACGGACAGTAAGCACCATACATGAGATTTGGACAGACGGCGGCTACATCTGGGGGCAGCTCGTAGGGCACTGTTATAAAGCCCAGTGTGGTGGCCTTCACAAGGGCTGTCAGCTGCGTTATATACTTGTCGACAGCAAAATCTATCTCAAATATTTGCGTTGTTCCCTTGATAATGTTGCACGGCGGGACCACACATCCAGCGACACGCACTTCCAGCGGAAAGGGCTTATTGCCCGAGCCTAGAAATCGAATAGATAATTCAAAAATATAATTTGTATTTGTATTATAGAGTAAATAATAATGGTAGCCTACAGCGCTTGACTTCGGTGGCGGGCAATTTCTCCTCAGCCTGGATCCCATTCAGAAAAGAAACGACAAGCAAAATGCTTAGACTGATGAGCACTCTCTGTTCCATTTTGTATTGTTTTATTTCAAGAACTAAATTAATATTTAGCAATTAGTTAGAAGAACTTCGTTTTTATAGCCACAACACATGAGTTCTAATTGAGTGAATGAATCGCTTTGGTTATCTTATCAAGTGAAGGCGTTTTCTAATTTGTGAACAAAACAATTTGGTTTGTCAGCTCTTGAGCATTTTTGTACAAAGGAACACCAATCATTGCGTAGCTAAATTTACTCATGATGAATATAATGAATTTAGAATAAATATGCTAGTATATATAAATATATATATGCATACCTCTACATAGACTTTACTCAGTTTCTCATATAAACCAGATTTGTGTGCCTTGTGATTGTTCTAAAATTTCTTTTAAACTGGCATTCTATGCACATTAATTATTTATGGTTAGGGTTTTTAAATGTGTGTCTCAGATTTGAAAAGCTTTTTATATATTTTCTCTGAGCGCGAGCGAGAGAACGAAAATAGAGACTCTAAGTAAAGCACAATATAGATGTTTTAATATATACATATGTTTTAAAAATTCTATGGTCAGCTTAAGAGACCAATTTAAAAATACTTGCAAGTGCATTGCGAATGACACGAAACATTGTTGTCCCAAGCACCGCGTGGGATACAAAGCCAGTGCGAAATAAATCCTTGAACAGAAAAAATCAGACGACCAAGCTTACTGAGAAATGTACAAAGCATTTATATATTTATATATACATATATATTCCCATTTATATGAAATGAAACCCAGAAACAGAGACATTTGTACTGCAGCCAAAGCCATTGTCAATGAAACTTCAAATAAAAATAAAAAATTACACGAAACCGACTAAAAGTAAGCTGAAAAATATAATTTTTTCGACGTACAGTGAAAATTCACCAGCGGTAAGTGTGCGAGGTGCTCTCATAAAGTTTATATTTATTTTATTTATTTATTATTTAATAGCTTTTAGAAATGAGAAATTCGTTTATGAAAACATGATGGAATATACAATATGGAATGAACTTATTATCCAATGTTTCAGTATGGATTAGCTCTCAGATTTGCGTCTGATCATTCGTTTTGATTTAGTTTAGATTGATTCTGTGTCAATTCAACTTCGTCTCTATTTAGTCTGCATTCAGTTACAATTATGCCTTAATTCAGCCCCTGATACACAAACTCAACTAACAGCCCTCGGAAAAAAACATTTTTTCGCAAATAGAAAAAAAAGGTCGAAAAATCTTGTAATGCTACGGCGGGTGGTGGTTGAGTCTGTGGGTTGACATGTGGCCAGCGCAGCATGAGATTTTCGCATACATGCTGCTGAAATCTGTAAGTCTTGTCCCCAGCTCTCGATCTCTTCTGTAGCTTCTGCCCTGCCACCTGGACGCCTTCTGCTTGATGTCACATACTGCACAGTTGTAATTGTTGTGGCATTATTTAATATGTCAAAGCAATGGCAAAATCCTATACAAAATGTCCTCATGCTATACTCTCCTGTGTGTGCGTGTGTGTGTATGTCACGGCTTTTAGCTTCTTATTTTGCGAATGGGACCGCAATATTTGATTAACATCAAGCGCCTGGCATTGATTTCTGCCGTACTTAAATACATATAGATTTGTATGCATGTGTATATGTATGTATATACACGAGATTTTCTATTTTCAGTCCCATCTAATAAAATTATCTGAGCCGGAAAATCTGAGCAGGGCGACCAGGCGGCATACTTTCACAGTCTCAGCATTACTTACCCCATTTGCCATTTGCCATTTCCGTTTGCACTTTTCTGCCCGTTTATTTTTGGATGCCTTCCCTTTGCATTCTGCCTCCTGTTTTTTGCATATTCCCCAAAGTATTACCTGGCTCTTTTCACTATCCGCTTCCCTCGAGCTTAGCTGATGTGCTGCCTTTTGAAATCGATAATGCGTCTCGTCTCTTTATTTTCAGTTATTTAGATTATTTATGTCATTTGGATTAATGACTTAGCGAATGCAATAAGGAAAAACTTTGATAATTCGCTGCATACTTTTATGCGCCATAACAAGTGGACCAAGCTAGAGATACAGATACAGATACAGATAGAGATACAGATAGAGATACAGATAGAGATACAGATACAGATACAGATACAGATAGAGATACAGATAGAGATACAGATACAGATACAGATACAGATACAGATACAGATACAGATACAGATACAGATACAGATACAGATACAGATACAGATACAGATACAGATAGAGATAGAGATACAGATAGAGATACAGATTCGGTATATTTTGGTAATGTTTGATTTAAGCTGGCACGCTTCAATCTGTCTGTAGCCAGGAACTCAATTAATTTGTCAAATCAAAGCGGACAGCGTCGAATGCCAACATTCGAGCCCGGCAATTTGTCACGCCAAGCCCCTGGCCGGAGCGCAGACTGTCCGCAGCGGAGTTCAGGTCACCTCACCTCACCTGCCTGTGACCTTTTGRGCCTCAATCAGGGCATTCCCAATGCGACTTTTGTTTACACGTAATTTAATAGCTGCAAGTTGGTTGCATTGTGTCTCAATTAGGCGACAATTTGATTTCTGTTGTTGTTAATTTTTCATTAAATTTTATAGGCATATTTGATGATTCGGTCGTGTGCTGTCAATTAATAGAGGAATGCTTTCTCCAACACGCCCAGTTATCAATGTAAAGTCCCCCTGTCAACAGGTGTGCTAATTGAGGCACGAACAACCCTTCTAATGCAATCAAACTACCCCCAGATGAATTTACTGTATTCTCCATTATAGTTTGTCATAGTTGGCCTTAGCTGACGAGTGCATTCAACTGTTTGTATTTTAACAATGTACCAAAACCAGTTTTTTGAGGTTTTCATTTCCGGAAACCGTGTAAATATTGGGAATGTTTTGAGACAGGGTATATTGAGGGTAAGCATGGGTATGTAACAGGTGGGACATAGTATAACGTTTTTCAACTATTTTCTATCTTTTCCAGTTCCTTTATATTAGAAAATAGAAGTGATATGCCACTTCATTTGATTTATCTACTTTTCACATATCGATAAATATCGATGGTATAAATACCGATTTTATATTTATTATACAGGCTATCTTTTAGTCGATTATTCTCCACGCTTTTTCCTTTCTGGTCAGCTGACCGACTGCCCTTGAGCAGCATTTTCTTTTCACTTGCAATTTTCAGCTACGTCCCTTTGCATAGTTTTCCGCCCTGGCGCGCACTTTGATATATTTCAGCAGCAATTTGCATAGGCTGTCATGCAAAAATTATTAAATATTTCTTTTTTCTCCTCTTTCAAGCCAAGAGCTTTAATTAATTTTGCCAGCTACCAAGCTGCCTGGCTACCTGGCTGTTGATTGGGGCGCTATAATTAAATGAATGCAAAATTCATGTTTCCCGAAATCAAGAGAACATGCGTTTCGACAAGTTTGCTGTCGAGCAATTTACCTTTGGCACAAGGCTTACGTGTTGGCATTTAATGTAGACCCCCATTTGCCTTGCCTTCCTTCTTACCTTCACCATTTCGTTGGACTCAAATACGTTGAAACATTTGCTTGCAAAAATATTACTCTATTTTGCATAAATATGTGGAAGTCTCACTCCCGCTCCCTTCTTCACTCTCTTTGTGTATTTAAAATACAGTCATGCATAATTAACCAGCAAAAGCGTTGGAGTTGAATACTGACTATTTAGTACTCGTTCGTGATTTAAAAATATTTAAAGAAATTTAATACAAATTTTAGAGTTTAAGTTTAAGTTTAGTATTGATTCTAGAATTTTTTTAAAAAAGTGCGTTGTATTTCGACTTATTTACTTGAAAAACAATAAAATAGAAAACATATATTCTTGACAGAGCATATATACGCTAAATAAATAGTTAACACACCCAGCAGCACAACCATATATACCCTTCTACTATTCTTGAACGAGTAGAAAATTGCACTCTGAAAGTTTTTCATATTATTCGAATAGCTTGGACTTTTACTGCTCTATAATTTTAGTTTCTAACTTAGCTCAATTTTTTCGGAATTTTACAACTCAATGTTGAAACATAGTAGTATTACATGCAATTCTGCTGAATATTTATTTCAGTTGGCTTATATGCTAAATTTATAAGATACAGTTGTTAATTTTAAATTTATTAGATACTTACGGAAACATGAGATTTTAATTCATAAATTTGAACTTAAGCTTAATTAAAGCTTAATTAAAAAAAAAAAAATTAAAATGAAAACTATCAGCATAACCCTACAAAAACCCAGAAACAGCTATACATTCCAGTCAAAATATTAGATGAGGCGCAACAAATCATACAGAATGAGGCAAATGCAAATTAAAATATTTGCTTGAGCTTAAGCACTTCAATGTGCAAGGGAAGCCAATCAGTTAAGCATTTTAATAAGCTCGACGTAAACATTTAAAAATCAATTTTCACAAAAAAAAAAGAGAAGAAGAAATTACAACAACAACGAGAACGACAAGAACAAAATCAAGTTACTCGCAATCTGTGGAAAATCGTTTAGCTAATTTGCATATAAAACAGTTGAAATTTAAAACACAAAATATGAGAATATTGATGAAATTTGGATAAGAAGTGCTTCGCTGAGTTCACCCCTTGACATTCTGGTAATCCTGTTGCTCCTGTTTCGTCTGCTGGTGGTGCTACTTGTAAAGTCAAGTGGGTGTAAGAAATTGTGTAAAACTTGCTTCAAATTGCCTATGCATATAAATTAATGTTAATGTGACGAGCAAATACAAATATATGTATATATAGGCAGATATATATTTCCCTCCATATCTATTTCTCTCTCTCTCTCTCTCTCTGTCTGTCAGCAAGGGTAGATTTCTTGTTGCCTGAAAATATGCAACGCAAAATGTGTTTTCTCTTACTGTTTGCTATTTTTCCTAATCGCTTGCTAATTTTATTAACACCATCGATTGATAAGCTCAAGTAACGCGTTTACCTGTACTTCTAGCGATTGAACATCAACAGGTGTTCGGTTATCTGTCACTTGGCGGCTCAGTTCACCTGCACCGGCCGTATCTCCAAAGGTACTTAAATGTGTTTTGGCAGTGTAAGTGCACTCGGTAAGGCACGCGAAAACAATCAAGACATTGAGAGGAAACTACTCTGAGTCATATTGAGTCTCTATTGAGTCTCTCAAGAGCTGCATTATGAATCATGCTCAGCTATTAAGATTCCCCTGAAGTATGCCTATAAACCGTTTAGTACATAAATCTATTTCAAGACACCATAAAATATTTAAAAGAAAGTATTCAGTTTTAGGTTAGAATTACGTCTAATGATGTCTTAATATATATTTTACTCTAGCTAGACCTTGTTAGAAAAGTGACAAGCATTTGGACCTATTTATAAATCAAATATTGAAACAATATTTAATTAAGTGGCAAAGCTAAGCTAAGCAGTTAAATGCTATCGCTGAAATATAAATTTTGTAGGTTTACTTATATCATATTCATGTTTCATATTATATACGCTTTACACCTAACTATAGAACTTGAATTATACTGCCAGAGAGACTAACCTGAACTTAAATAATTCAATTAGTGAGCAATTCAATACACACAATTGTATTATAACATTTTTATATTAAAATATTAAGCTTTTTGATATATTATCTCATTATTGGCTTTATATAAATACGTAATTTTAACTCAACAAAATTTATTTCCAAACTTAAGCAAGCAACAATTACACAAAACACTTTTGATTTCCTTAAATGTATATTTAAATCGCAGACCAACAATTAAATGTATTTCGCCAATAGATTAGCCAGACCTACTTTTGATAGCTTCCACATTGGCGATGGTACAATAAAATGGTCCAATTACTGCTCCGATTAGATTGGGCAACAAGTGCGACTGAACTGAGGCAGTTCCCATTAATATAAAAGGCAGCGATTGTACCACAATGAACATAACAATTCAAAACAGCTTTGGATTAACACCTTAAGTTGAAATATTCGCAAGGAGAACTCTGTACAAAATATACAACTACAAAATGTCTGCCAGTCAAGTTTTTCTATATGCCTGCCTGATCTTTGGACTAATGGTGACACTAGCTAGTGCCGATACGCCCATCAGAAAATGTGAGTAAATTACAATGAAATCCCGTATAAATCGTTTGCTCATTAGGGGTATTCCATTATAGGCGCCAATAACAAGAGTCCGCTGCCGTTGATGGTGCAAATAAATGACTGCAATGCGTTACCCTGTGAATTGCTCAAGGGTCAAGAGTCCAGCATAGCCATACAGTTCGTAGCCAGTGAGTATATAGCAGAACCTATAGAAATATATAAACAAAGATATCTAATTGATGATATTTATGCCTCCACCGACAGCTCGTAATGCCATGCATCAGCTGACGGCCAAGGTTTATTTGACCTCGCTAGGCGTTACTATACCCTTTGAGCTGGACGCGCAGCGCAGCAATGTCTGCGAGAATCTGTTGCACGGCGCCTACTGTCCTCTGGACGCTGGCGAGGATGTCACCTATCGCCTCCGGCTGCCCGTGGCCAACACTCAGCCAGAGGTGCCCACCCGCCTGCAGGTGACGCTGCACGATTCGGAGCGGGGCAATGAGGTGGTCGCCTGCTTTATGACCGATACGCGTGTGCGTAAAGCTTAGGCTAATTAACTTATGCTCTAGTTGTTAATGATAATCGTATTGTTTATGAAACATTGTATCAATGTTTGCTATTAATCGCAACTAAGCTGCTAACATATAAGCTGCTCTTGTTGGCGGCACTATTAGAGATTATGAATAAATAATTAAGACAAAACATTATTAATCATTTAACAGCACATGTTAGTTAATTACCACACATATGGGACGGACGGGCGGACTGCTGGATAGACTATAAGCTGCCTAAGTCCAATCGACAGTTACGCAACATAGCTTCCCCATGCCTCCTCCTCCCATTTACTTCCTCTCTCTCTGTCTCACTCTCCCACATGCCACCCAGTGAATCGGCTTAATTAAATGACGCAGAAAATTACACAACACCTGTTCAGAGTTGGGCATTTGCGCTGTTTGCGTGCGTGACACGAGAATTCTTGGCATTTCACGCCGCATTTGTGATTAGAAAATGGAATTTTAGAAATTAAAAGTACCCTACTTCTACTGACTATATACATACTCTAGCTTTCTCAAACTCCATCTAGATTGCTCTTCCTCTTTCTACATGCTTCCCTAGTTGCTCATCTCTTGATATAAGAAATTTATTACAGTTTTTATAATATAAACATTTTTGTAAGTTATATTTAATAATATAAACATTATTATATATGGAGCTAACGAATCTAAAAAGTTAAGATTTAAGGTACATAAAAGTTATATAGCCACATCTTTGGGGTAAACCTGTATTATAAGTCTCCTACTTTCTGCGATAGAGCTACAAAGTTAGATCAAATGTAAATAATTGTTATCTAAAGATATCATTTACAGCAGAGGATTTTTTAGCAAAAGGGGTATTTCTTTGTAAGAAGAATGTGCTCATTAGATACGAATTTCAAGTATTTTTAAAGGAAGCCTTTGAAGTTTGACGATAAGTTCAGCATAGTGTTGTATACAATTCAAATATGATGCAGCCGACTGTACCTGATTGTTAAGCCTAGATTTTATTATCCTTACTGCCTCCGCTTTCACATAAATACATAATCATTTTGTATCATATGAAATATATATCATTTCATATAAATATATATAAAAACCTATAGATCAGAATGTCTATGTTTGCTTAAAATACGTTCAGATGAAAAGTATGATAAAATTTTGAAATCTGCATTCGTAGTGTTGGAAAATGTTGTCAAACTCTCATCTCTACAGTTGGCAATGCCTAAGTGACTGACTGACTGACTAAGTGATTGTTTACACTCACTCACTCTTTGGCTTATCGAGGTGTTGACGCTGCGTGCGGTTTTTCATAAATTTACAACTTTTCATTCCAAACAACTGCCATTTCCACAAATGCACGTACATCCACATCCACAGACCTATCAACACAACCACATCCAGCCACTGTGGCTGCAGTCGCTGCTGTGGCTATGGCTTCCTTCCTGTCATTTGGCAACGCAACGCTAATTGGCTTTTCAACACTTTGCTGCTTCCTGACTGACTCTATATATACACGATATATAGTGTTTATGTATATATAGTATATATAGTGCATATTTTTTGTGGGCTATGTCACAGAGTCGTTTGTTTCTTGTTTCGCTTAATGAATGAGCCCTGATTGCGCACATATCCGTCGGTTAGCTAATTGAGACGTCGACTAAGTGGTGACATAGTAGCACCCACAATATATGTATATAGAACCTGTATATTTATATGTTGACTATATATGTATACTTGACAAATTACTTATAAACTATGTTAGAAAACTTCCGCACTTAATAAAATGTAACACGATAAAACATGTCGAACAGGAAGTTTAATTAGCTTAAAATTCTACAAAGTTAAAAAACCTTTAAAGATGAAGAAATATAATTAGCCAGTAAGCTGAATAGAATATAATTATGAAATAGAATTAGTCTAAAGTTTAACTTTACAAAATCAGCAAAAAATGTCCAAGAAAAACTGGTTCCAAAACTACTGAGAAAATCAGCTAACTTTAGAGATGGTGTAAATCATTTTTTAATTGGGTAAGAAATATGATTGTTAGTATACTATCATGCATACATATATACATAAATAAATTCGTAGAGTACTTTAAAAATTTTAACCTGTGTCATATATTTATTGCATATTTATTTAAATATATTATGAATATATGAATGAAAAAGAACATTTACAATTTGACATAAAGAGCTTTAGCTCAAATTAAGATTAATTATTGATGGTACATCCATCTGATATAATAAAATGAATATTTAACATACAATACTGATAATGCTGGTTTTTAAATATTTTCAAAAATATTTTAAATTAAAAAAAAAAAAAAACAAACAAAAATATTGTTTCTTTCATTTTTTTTTAACTTTATTTTTATTTATTTGTATTTACAAATACTGAGAACTCTGGTTTATTAGAGTAAAATTTAACTTTGAATATAATTTTCCGAACTCATTTCGCCTAGGGTATCTTTAGTTTATCTAAACTTTAACGACAAATTAAATTAGCCCCATTAAGTGATATTGTATATTTTATGTTCATAATTTCATGCAGACTGAATATGATATCATTTCGTTATGGAACGCCTGCTCGTTCTATTGGGGATTTGCGCTTTAGTCCACACGCAATACTTGAATAATTCATCTGAGCAAGAAAATGACTCAAAGGTAATAATATTAAAATATATGAAAACCATAGAGCTATGGCTAAAATATTGAATTTCAATTAGTTGTTTTTCGAACGCATTCGAGTTCATGCCGATCAGCACTTCATGAAGGCCTTTACCCATATACACGAGGATCGCAAACACTTCGATGTCTTTGTCCAGCTGGACAGGAAGCTGGGCAGTAACTATCTCATTATGAATATAAAGACGCGAGTGAAGCGCGAAGGTAGCAATGATTTCATCAAGACCTTCGATTTACGTCACATGGACTTTTGCTCGTTTCTCAACAATCCGGATTTACGTCACTTCTTCATGACCACCATACATTTCAACAAAGCTTTGGAATGTCCCGTACAGGTGGGCAACTATAGCGTTAAGAATATAGGCGTGTTGAATATCATAAACGAGCACAGTATGCGCAAAGGTACTTACAAGTTCTTTGCCGAAATTGCCGAAGTCACCAGTGATATACCCAAAATATTTGCTCTGCAAGTCATCACGATCGTAATGTAACATCTAAGAAAAATAAACTTGATGGCAATTGAAAATAGTTCAACAGAATATAGCACGAGTAAAAAAAAACTTTTCAGCTTTTTATTAAAGTACGATGTGTTTTGTAAAGATTTCATCTACTGGAGTTTATCAGAAACGTATCGATATATTTCGGTTTTCTATTTTGGAAATGTTGAAATATTTAGTGGGAATTATGTTCCACTACCCATACGACGTTCTTCTTCTTACGATTACATACAAACATATACATATTTGATATGCTATATAACTTCGATAAAAATCTGTACAATTACAGAGCTCTGAAATTAAAGACAAATAGTTCTATAAATATCGATACAATTCTTGAGAAAATATAAGTTCTCATGAAATAAAAAAAAAATTAATAGATGCAGATTTTAAAGCAAAGTTTCTTAAGCATATTTTTGACGCCTAAGAGAATTTTGGCGTCAAGGATACTCTTTCTCTTATGGAGATCTTTGTCTCACACACTCCCTCCTCGATGCCTTGCTACCTTGGTGCACATGCACATGTGAGGCAGCGAACAAAGGATACGTAATTACAGCAAGGGCACGGACGCGCGCACCCCCGGGGCTGGGCTGCCGTAGGTCAACCCCCCATAGTGTGCACTCTAAGCCGATTGTTGGCTTCGACTAGCTTCGATATTGTTTGCCCATCGAATTTTCCATTGTGCGTCATACGTGAAACGCTTTTCCCTTGACATATTGAAAATCGTTTAAAGCGACCGAGTGCAGCGTCCGATTATTGTGATTATCTTTTGACTATCGCGTGTTATGCCAGCTTCTGTTGCTTTCACTGCTGCTGCTTTTTTTTTTGCATTTCCCGCGGGACTTTTGCGGTTTTCCCTCGCTAAGTAGAGTGGAAGCCATATGTGCGCATTGTTGCTGCAATTTTCTTATGTCATTTGTCTATAATTAATAGAAAAACAATATGTTCAATGCCCAATCAATGGGGGAGGAAGCCCACTCCGACTGGGCTAGTTTTTACGTAATTTAAGTACCTTAATATAGAGCATAGGCTTTCTGATCAAATAAATAAATTTATTTCGAACACAAATTATTTTAAATAATTATTTTCTATTTAATTTAGATTAGTTTAAGGGATGAAGTTTATAGATCAGTGATAAGCCGCAGTAGTAATCAGCCTGCAAATATTTAAAAAATTTATAAGTGTACATACTGGAGCTTCTGCTTCATAAACTATGTAGGAAAATTATTGGATTAGTATATATTTTTGTATATTATTGTTTATATTAATAATTCAGTTTAAATTTCATATAAACCTTGGCAATACAAACTCATCGTTTTCTGGTTAATCTTGAGTAAAAGTAAAGAATGACATGCTAACAGCATATCAAGGTCCTGCGCTGTCACTGACCCGTTGTGCTTAAGTCAGTAAAGTCTTTCCAACCCATTAAGCTCCGGCAGTTGGGCGTAAAAAACGTTTTTAGTTAGTGAAATTCAATACTTTAATGGATATATTTGTATATAGATATATGTATATATAGAGAACCATTTTGGCAGTTAATTAAAATCCCTAATGCGGTTTACCTTGGCCTCTTTCATAATAGATATTAGAGCATATAAAGGGGTGGCAGCTCGGGTCGCACCCTGTTGCGAAGGCTTTTTTAATGCACAATCAAATCATTTCGCAAATTCAATTTGCCAAAAAGAAAAATGCGAATATATAGCAAATGGAAATTCAAATGGAATTCCGGCAAGGACCTGCGTGTCCTGCGTGAAGTGCGAATGCCTGCTATCAAGTGTCACACTGACGTCTGACCTTTGCAAATTCAATTTGTCGCCTTTTTATCTATAAACATTTTTCTATTAGTCTCAATGAGGGGGACGCGAGTGCGCTTAAGCTTTTTCTTTTCAATTTTCCTTAGCCTAAACCTTGGAATAGCTTAGTAGACGAGAATAGGAATGGGAATGGGAACGGACTAACAATTTGGGAGCCAATAACTAGTTGAATCTCTAAGGA